AGATTTGGAAGATGATTTTATATCATATAGCAAATAGAAGACCTGAGTAGAAGTATGAAGAATGATAAGACAGATATGAGGTGTTTGCTACAGTTCACCCTGCAGAGCAAATGCTGTGTGATAGATGATATTTTTGTATGACCCTGGTCTGCATCCTGTGTGCCAGAGGGGTGACAGCAAACACTGCTGACCAGCCTCTGACCAACATGCTTTTCCTCTGCGCACCAATTCTGCATCTCATTTCCTGGAGTACATCTGTTTTCTATCCCCACCTAAATTCTCCAGCTACTGAGCATTCAAGGTGCATTTTAAAGACGAACAACACTGTGCATGTGTCTCAGTTACACAGAGAGTCTGTGGAGAGGCATGGAAAAGATCCATCCAAGGACCAGAAGATGACCACAGCCCTAGTGCTGGACATGCCAGCCTCATTTGTTGTCACTGAACACTGACCTGGTCTGATAACATATCTTCTGCCAGAGTAAACCCATAGCTTTAAACACACAAGTGATTATATGGGCTATATTGCTAGAAAAAAAGTGTGCATTTAAGTGTGGGATCAGGGCCATGCTGCAGAGACAACCATGTAGCTTGGACAGATAAAATACCTGAAGCATTGCAATGCTTTTAAATTAATTTTCTTGACTAGCTACAGTGCTTCAGTGGGGCTGATCTTAAAAATTCTGATGGAGCTGTGTGGTACCTACACTGGCTCCTCCTGAACAACAGTTGTCCTGGCCGGTCAATGAAAGTGTTGGATTTTGAATGCAGGGATTAATAATACTGCATTTTCTTAAATTTCTTATTCCTGCCAGCAATGCAAGAGAGAGCAAGACGCTTGATGGTGGAACAAGTGATCCTCTCTCCCCCTCTGCTGGAAAACCATGATATGACCTCCTGGCAGAAAAAGGATGAGATTCAAGTCATTCTCATCCCTGCCCATAGCAGGGAGTTGGAACTAGATGATCTTTAGCGTCCCTTCCAACTCAAACCCTTCTAGGATTCTATCAGATGTGCAGGGAACCATACTGAGGTGAGTGTCCCCTTGGGGATGGAGTAAGGCATAAAATTTGAGCCAAAATCCCTCCCTCATATAAGGCTGTGCCCTGCTATCCACTTTTCCCCATTTGTCTGGGGTTTTGAGTAGTTTTTTTCAGAGATATGGACCTTACTGCCTTTCCCCAGTGTTTTCCCACATATGGGGGCAGTAACTGTGACAAAGGAAAACAATTTGTCAGACCACACCCAATCTGTAATATCATGACAATGGGCTAATGTTATCACCAATTATATCACAGGCAACACCTGAATCTAGTTGTCTTCCAGAGAAGACTGCATTGCATAAAAATGTGCTTCATCTTCACCAGTTATACTGCCCAACCTTTCTAAAAGTCTGAAAGACTATATTATATTCCCAAGAACTGCTGTTGTTCCTGCTCTTTGGTAACACTTCTGTGAATTCAAAAAAACCCCAACCAACAACAACAACAAAAACCGAAAGCAGCCAAACAAATCAACCCAAACAAACAAAACAAAACAAACAAACAAAAATTCCAAATATATATAATAGACCTATATTATATTACAAATCCCATCAGTCACTAAGTAGCTGAAAAGAATAATTCAGGGAAAATAAGTCTGCTAGATGCTGTGCTTGCAGCCCTTGGACTGATGCAACTACATAATACACTATTAGCACCACCACTGCAGGAAAAAAAATCCAAATAAAAACATTTTAAATTTTTAAACAGGCTGAAATGGTTTGTTCTGGTGAGGTTGTGCATATGTAGGGAGTGTTTGAAGCTGCTACTCTCAGTAGTGGTGTTTGGTTTTATTCACATCAGGGCTGTGCCTGGGAATTCCTGTTCTGGGTCGGTGCCTCTGAGACACAAACCCAGAGCAAACCCCATGCTCCTGCTCCAAACTGCTGCCCATGGAATAACAGCAGTGGACAAGGTGCTCATTGTGTTTTACTGGGATGTCACTATTCCTGGCAATTTGCAGCTTGGAGAGGACCAATGGGAGGCACCAGCACTATTGGAAGAGGTGGGGTAGGAGGGTGAGGACTAGTGAAGGGATTACTTGCATTCCCTCCAGCATTTCAGGGAGGGTGTAAAGTGTTTTGTTGTCTCTTCACATCTCTGTTTAGTTTCTCGAAGGAAATTGTGCCTTTTGGGGCATTAAAAGGTGACTTATGTAGAGCAGCACCAGCCCTTTGTCATCACTTTCCCCAAAAGTCCAGAGCCGGGAAAAAAGTTGGCTTCCACCTCTGCAGTGTGTGATCTGTACAACAGCACTGTGGTTACACCGTGCTCCCCATACAGTTATTGCAGCCCGGGGCAATTTACGGCAGCACTGGGGCTGCTGTTGAGGGGAGGTGAAGTTAGTGGGGTCCCACCAGGGCTAGCACTCACAAAATGCATGTTTTCAAGAAAATTTTGGCATTTTTTTAATGTTTTTTTTTTTACAGTGCATATAGAGGAATCTGCCCCATCCTTTTCCGCAGGACCATGGCTCTGAAGTCACAACCTCCTGATTCTCCAACAGTGCTTTAATTCATGGTCTGTGTTCAGACCACTCATAAATCCTCCCCAGCTACCTGTACACAAAGCTGGCATTGATTTCCATCATGCTGTGACTCCAGCCCTGGCTTGGGGGAATTCCCTGCCAACTCTCAGCTCGGCAGGACCCCCCTTTCTTCTCCAAGACCACCATGCAGAGGCAGGACTTTTCATGTGGTGAGGAATGAGACTCGTGCTTCAAGTCATGTCTCTGACAAATAAGCCTTTCCCTGCTTTCCCTCCCCCCCAATTTCTCTTCCTGTTATTTTTCAGCTCTCCTCAAGTTTTGCTTTGCAAAGCAAGGTCAGGT